GGGGAATGTTTGTTCACCAGAGTGCCCCAAGGGATGACGAGGTTGAACGGTTATAAACTACTGCAAGGCCATTTCAGGCTGGACATAAGGAAGAAACTATTTACTGTCCAAGCCCCGTAGGTCTGGAATAGCCTGCCATCGGAGGTGGTTCAAGCACCTACACTGAACACCTTCAAGAGTAAATTGGATGCTTATCTTGCTGGAATCCTATGACCCCAGCTGACTTTCTGCCCTTCGGGCAGGGGGCTGGACTCGATGATCTTCCGAGGTCCCTTCCAGCCCTAATGTCTATGAAATCTATGAAATCCATTTCTTCTCTGCCCATCTTTCAGTTCCTTCAGAAATCTCATTCTCTCAGTTTGTCCCAAAATGTTGCCCATCCCAAGAAATCCAAGAATCTCTCCACTCTTTCAAATCCCAATCTCTCCCACAGCAGTCAGCCTTTTGTTCCTTTCCCTGTCCTCTGTTCTTTACTGTTGACTCTTTGAAACCATCTACACTCCTACCCATACCATTCCCAGTTTGTTTCTTGTCTCATCTGTATTCACAGAATGTCATAGAAAGTTTTCTTCTCAGTGCTGCCTGCAAGTAGATGCCAAGAGCAGAGGAGAGAAAAAAACATGTCCTCACTGTGAATTTACAATGCCTGAAAGAATCATCCTCAAATGCATCGCCCTGTGGAACCAGCATAGCCACAGATGCCCAGCACTGTGTGTGAGCTACTTAGCATGGAGGTAGGCTCATTGGAGTCACTTAACAGTGCTATTTAGCTTACCCAAAGCATCGCAGAGACACAGGCGAATAGTTTCTGGTACAGGAGGTAGCCCATGTAGAATCTTATTTGAGCATGGCTTTGCCAAGCATGGTAAATTTGCCATGGAAGCATTCCTAATATTTCCCAGGTCTTAGTTATTATGCCCAGCCAGCAGCTGCCCAGGGCTGCAAGGTACAGCCCATGTATGTAGTATGTAAATAGATTCCCTGAAATATTATATCTCCATAGCTCTATTAGGTCTCTAATGAGCATGTAACAACTGTTCATTGGCTTATGGTTAGATTGAATTTGGGCATATTTTCATGGGAATATCAGAAGGCCAAATGTTGTGTTCCTGTTCTAAAGCATAAAAGCAGAAAAGTTTCCCACCCCACCAAAAAAGGTTGTAGCATTACTCTCATGTAAGCAGAATAGATTTTCTCACCAGCCTTGCTTTCAGATCTAGTTGGAAAATTTCAGCTGAAATAGTTTAAATAAATTCAACCTAAGGCAGAGGTTGGTAACCTAGACCAGCAGCAGGCCAGATCCAGCCCACAGACATGGGGCTTCAGAGGCATTCGGCAGCAAGGGGCTTCAGCCGTGGTTGCTTTTCCCATGCCACCACAGAGAGAAATGGTGGCTGCAGGACCTCTCTCCCTGCTGCCATGGAGAGAAGCAGCATTGGTGGTAGCCAGTTCCTTGCACCCACCTGACCACCTGTCACTGCCTTAAATTGGGTCATTCCAGCTTGCAACCTGAAAAGGTTGCTGACCACTGGCCCTAAGGCATGGATATCTAGCACAGATAGTTGTAGTTTAGATGCATTTTAAGAAGCTTTTTAAGAAGGGCCTTATAATGGGAAAGACTGGCAAGAACTTGCTAGTATGTGGTGCCTTTAGTTCTAACTACTAGCAAATAAAAATAGCCTCATGTTCTCAGGGTGTTGACCATCTACAGCTCCCATTAAAGTCTACAGACGTTGCAGCTTCTCAGCACTATGGAAAATTGGGCCATTTATCTAGATGCCATTAGGTATCTAATTTCCAGCATCCCAAGATGGCTGTTTGGGAAAGAAGGGAAGTAATTCTTTCTTTTGCATGTACAGTATTCTATGTAATGCTCCTACCCCTTCCAAAATACAGATGTAAAACTATGTCACCTATTTACAATACTCTTCATCCAGGCCTTCTCCCAACACCCAGAATTCTGTGAAAAATTTACCTGGTTATTGTCTGGTTTGTATTTTAAATCAGGTTTGCTCAAGAGCTGCTCAATCTGATTTTTGTTAAAGTTGGCAATTCCAATGGCTTTCACCAATCCAGCTTCCACCAGGTCTTCCATAGCCTGAAGAGACAGCAGACTCAGACACTATATATAACTACAGGCTTGTCTAGACAGAGAAAAGACCTAATATAGTTACTTGGGTTGTAAGGTCTTTGGTATGAATGCTGTCTTTTGGTCTGGCATTTATACAGCACCTAGGCACACTGGGTTCATGGTCATGACTGAGACTCTAAGGTGCTGGAGTACTACAGTAAAGTACAGGAGCACAATAAAAGGGATAATATTCTGAAGAAACAATGGTATAATAAAGAATAAGTTTCATATTTCAGAATAGAACTCTATTCACAAACTGAAGTAATTCCTTCAGAATAAAAATACCTCCCCCATGTGGAGTTACCCTGGGATAGCTATAGTAGAACAGTTACTCTAGAGAAGCACTGCTGGTCAATTTTCTCATATGTAAGTATATAAAGATGATAAAAACACTTAGATGGGTTTGCTGAGTATGGCATGTTTTGCTGGTCCTAAAGTTCATCTGAGAAAGGAAATGCACAAGTATAGTTTTGCATTAGTAAGATCCTGAAATTTCCACTTTCTTCTCCAAATCATCAATAAAGCTTGCTTGGTTTATAGAGGCCCAGTTGTCCCTTCTAATTCTGATGACTGTTTCATTTTCCTCCTACTCAAAGGATTAACCTAGTACAGTTGAGCACACAGAGATCCTGACAACAAAGTGCTACTGTCAGTAGTAGGTGTAAAAACATTTCACTTCACAAAGAATAATGTAAATGTCAGAAATATAAAGCAAAACAGCTATCCTGGATTCTTGATGTCAGAAAGTTCCTCAAAAATGTTCCCACCAGGAAAAGAATGCAACTTGCTGCTGAAGAGTACAGAATGGCAAACAAACACAGAAACAAAGTTGAAGCTTACCTCCCACGTTTCCAGAAAATGTGTGTTACTGGGAATCATCATGCCATTTTCTCCTATCGGAAAAAGTTCCTCCCCTGCCTATTGTGAGACAAAGATAGTGTAAAGATATGTTGCATACTCAGTTGTAAGAAAAAGGGGAAAAAATTAACCTTGGAGAACCTAATAAAATATCCTTGACTTGAGCATCTGGCTTGGAGAAAGGAGACAAAAATAACTTTTTTTAAGATAATTAACTTATAAGCACATGGTTGTTTTCTGACCCCAGGACAAGGGAGCACAGAAGTCTGAAAGTACACAGAGGAAGAAAAAAACAACCATTAGTAGAAAGCTGAGGTAGAGAGGAATTCAGTACTGACCACTCTCAGACATAAATGTTGCAGAAGCAGCTGACAAACCAGCACTGAACTTTGATGAGGCAGAAGACCTGGATTTGATTTGGACTAACAGCACCATATTCCAGAAGGGTCTGGGGATGCTGAAGATGCAAGAAAATGGTCAAGACCATGGGAGAAATCTGCTGCCTTAATGATCAAAGACTACATTTCCTTCCAGAGCATTTTAGGAGTGGCACCAATATGCTCAGATAGACAGACAATCTTCCTGGTCTGGGATGGTCCTTTCTTCTACCTGACAGATCAGAAAGGGAAAAGTATCTTGGATTCTCACAGAAAGGCTTAAAATTCAAACCACAGTACCTTGAATCCCATGGGCCAATGAATGAGGTAAAGGTCCAAGTAGTCCAGTTTCAGGGCAGTGAGAGTTTTCTGGCACGCTTCTTTCACCAGAGATTTCTCATGGAATGTGCACCACAGCTACCAGCAGAAAATATAGATGGATAGTTGCCCTTAGATACTTTACCAAGACTCCTGAGTGGAACAGATGTCTGTCACCCCAAACTGAAGCAGATCTGGGAGCACTGTGTCCTGCCCCACTTTTCCAGGAGGTGAAACATGGTGGAAATTTCTGGGAATATATAGGTTAAGTGAAGAACATTTGGCTACAATGGGTGCTTTTACACATGCTCCGGAGGAGGGGAAGGGGGCACATTAATTAGAGTGGTTCCGAGAGCGACTCTAATTAAGGCACCACAGAGTCTTATGTATCAGCATCCCCGCCCCTCACAATGGTGGAGAGAGTGCTTGAACTAAAGCTTGTTCGATAAGCTTTAGCTAAAGAAACCCCACTTCCATTTTGAAGTGTAAGGATGCTGATACACAAGATGCAGGAGACAGCTGGAGCGTGGTAATTACCACACTCCAGCAGACTCAACAAATCAAGTCTGCTCTGACATGCTGTAATTACAGTGCATCAGAGCAGCCTCCCAGCATGTCTACAGGCACCCTGTAGATTTTTAAACTAAATTAACATAAATTGTGACATAAAGGTAAAAGTCAAATGAAATGAAGCAAAAATGCAGGATTTGACCCACACAATAGTTTTCCAGTAGATGGAAAGCAATTTTTTTTTTCTAATATTGCCACTCTGGGAAAATAAGAAATATAAAGCATAACATACAAGAATGTATAGGCAACTCAGCAGGGCTCAGCAAGCGTGTAATAGCAGTTCTTCCTTCCTCATAGTTTCTGAAAGCTCACACCAACTCCTGCCTCCATAGATGGCAACCAGTTCATACTAAGACAACTCTAATCTAATGGGCCTTGGATAAGAAATATCATATTTTCATTCCTTGTATCCACTTTACTTACAAGGTGGAACAAAGAAAACAAAAGACAGCCCTGTATACCTGTGACATTTCCAGTGCTATATTTGTAGTGTTCCATGCAATGAGTGTCAAGGCATGCACAAATGAAAAAGTGCATTAAAATGCCTGAAGCCTTTAAAAAGTGACCCACAAAAAAGGAATATCTTTGAAATGCTTCCTGAAACATCTGTACACTCTGTGGAACACTACATGGGATTCTGTGGTCCTCTGGCATTCCACAGTACTGTGCTCTTCCAGAAGCAGAGCAAACAGCTAGTGAGCACCCTGCGGTGTGTTCAGCTGTCCTCAGGAGCCACTGGAGACTGAGGCATGAAAGCAATCCTTTTTTTCCAGCTCTCAGGCTGAAGAGCAAGAATCCCTACTTGCTTAAGCCTCTGGTCTCCCAAGGCTCTGGTCTCTTTGGGAGATGGCAGGGGACTGAGCAACTCCCTGTTGTGTTCCCCGACTGAAGAACACCAGAGATGTATGCTGTCATCATAATTTTGAAGCATTCTGGCAACAGAATATATTTGGGAGGCCTCATAAAGCAAAATTCGAAGAAGTTCAAAAGTAGGTCTGTCCATGACCAGAATTATCCCATGGATACAAACAAGCTATTTTCTAGTTAACTTTATACCTTGGAGATTGCACGTTGTGTTATGTGTCCTTTGCCTTTCTTTCTGCCAGATACTTACCTGACCCCTTGCTTAGGCTCAAGTAGAAAAGGTTATACCTTACTGATGATGAAGAGGTCTTCCCGTGTTACAGCTCCCTCCTTAATTTTCTCTTGAATTGCATCCCCTATCTCACTCTCATTCTGGTACATATAGGCACAGTCAAAGAGGCGGTACCCAGCATCAATAGCAAACTTTACTGCATCTTTTGCTTTTTCTAGGTGAGACTGAAATGAGACAAGAAAGACAAAAATTGAGTTGCTCTAGAATGAAATAAGCAGTGGCAACTTTGAGTCTTAATCCACCTGCAATTATTGTTCAGTTACTTTGACAGCCAGGGCTCTAGAGGAATCATACATAGATCAAGTTAGACAAATACAAAGGTACATGGCATTACACAGTCTTATCTAAGCTAAAATCTGGCCAAAGGACTGATCAGGAAGATCAAAAGGGTAAGAAAAGGGCAAAAGTCAAAGAACAGGATCCAAAGTACTTATTTTCAGTCACTTTGGAAAATGTTTGCTTTGAAAACAGTGCCAAAACCCAAAGTATGTGCATGAAAGACTTGTAAGAATCCTTCAGACTGTTTTTCATAGGCAAAATATATGGAGATACAATGCTGTGGGTGTGGAGGAAGGAAAGAGTGTCTAATAGTGATTCTGAAGTATATGCTGCAAAACTTCACCATGTTTAAAATACCCTGGTTTCAAACTAATTTCAATAATTAGATTTAAATTCTGTTTCTTCAGTCTCTGTCAGAAGATTGTCCTCCAGGGAATTCTCCACATGATCAGAAAGCCTCATTCACCTGTTTAATATTCTGTTTGCAGCCACACACACTCTAGGCACAAACAGAAATTATGTTTGTCATGCAATTGGCCCCTTGAAAGCACTCTATAGCCATGCCTTTACACAAAGGCATGGCTGCAGAGCACTTTAAAAGGGCCCAATCCCATGACAATCTCAATCCTCATTACATGAGAGTCCAGATGAAGATGCTCCAAAATAGAGTGCCTTTATTAACTTGAGCCTGCACATGCTTGGGGCAGGGCTGGGCTGATGCAACTCAGCCCTGCTCCCGGTACTGTCTTCAGAATGGAAGGGGGGAAGGGAGCAGATGGAGTTCCATCTAGGGTTTTTTCAGCTGGCACTGGATGATGGGGTGAGTGAACTGGGGCTCCCCTGAGGTGGGAGGGCTCCAATCCTCCAACCCTCTAATCCAATCCAATCCAGTCCTCCAATCCAATCCTCCAACCCTCCAGTGCCAGCTGAAAAAACCCACTTAGCTCCCTCTGCTCCCTTCCCCACCTCCCATTCTGAAAAGAACAGTGGGACTGAGTAGGGAGATGGGTGGGGCTGGGTAGGGGAGAGTGGCTGAAGACTCACAAATTGTAGCTGGATCCCCCAGCCCCTGGAATCCAACAGCAAATATCTGTTGGGTCTGAGGGACTGCTGTAACTCATGGCGCTTCCTGTGAAGCACCATGAGTCACAGTGGGGAGCTGCATGTCTGCCTACATCCTCTGAGAATGACAAGCTGAAAAGATTTCTTCTGGAGCACAGAACTTCTGAAAAGAGACAAGATCCACTTCCACCCTCTACAGGTACTGAGCACAAGTGTCCAAAAAGCAATGAATTTGGACGTAATTTTTAATTAGCCACAAGAGTTTCATAGTTTCATACTTTGTAGGGATGGAAGGGACCTGAGCAGATCATCAAGTCCAACCCCCTG